ACAGTAGTAGTGTAGTATAGTGTTTTTAATACAGTTTTACTTTTAATGCTATATACATGTGTACTTGTCATTCTCAGGCTATTGATGGTTCAACAGCATTACACAGTGCATCAGTAGTTGGCTCAGTCTCTTTCATTCAGTTACTATTAATGAATGGAGCTAATCCTAATGCTAGAGATAATGATGGTAGGCTTCCATTACACTGGGCCACTGCATCACGCTCTGTTGAAGCACTGGAACTATTACTGAAGGTAGGGACGTCATGTACAATTGTACATTTACATGTAGTGTAGTGTCATTGTTTTTATGGTAAGCATGAGTGAGCATAAAACTGTTACTTTAGTATTGCAGTCTTGTAAATAAAATGATAAATTGTACATGTACAAAGATTTCACTAAATGGGTGGAGTAGGACTCGTTTTCCTTTTGAAACTACATGTACATGTACAATGTACATGTACATGTACATGTACATGTACATGTACATGTACATGTACATTACGTGATGTGTACGTACACATGTATTGTACATATATATATATATATATGTGTACGTACACATTACACATGTATACGTGTATGTGTACATTTAGGTGTGTAGTATTTGACAGGTTTGAATCTTTAGTGTACCATATAGTGGAAAGTTTTTGTGGATTTTGTGATTTTTTCCAAAATTTACGAAAATTAAATCTGCAAAGAATTGATTTATATGGTTTAAGATGGCCGAAAAGTAAAAATCACAAAAATTAAAGCCAAAAAATTTTCTGCTATACGGCAGATAGTCACCAAATTCCTACTTGTAAATACCAAACTGATCTCTTTCTCTCTCTTTCTCTCTCTCTCTATTACAGGAGTCTCAGTATAATGTTGATGTCACTGATGGTTCTGACATGACTCCATTGATGTGGTCCTGTTATAATAAAAATGAATTAATAGCTAAAAGACTAATAGAACTGGGAGCTGATGTACACGAGAAAGACACTGATGGAAGGACAGCAGCTCACTGGTACAATATCTGATGTACTTATTGTATTTTATGTTTGTATCCCCAGGGCTGCTAAAAGGAGTGATATTAACATGTTGAAGTTGATCCTAAAACCTGACATGACTTATTTCAAGGATATTAAAGTGTGTGAACTACATGTACATGTACATGTATTATCTTTGAAATTATTATGTACTGTACATGTACATACAGTATTAATGTACACATACATTTGTGTATTATGTACATATACATGTATTTTGTCTTTTTTTTGTTTCTCTACTTTAATTTTTTCTTTTATCTCTTCTCTCTCACACACCTCTTCCCTCCCTCTCTCTCTCCCCAGGGTTGTACTGTAATGCATGTATCAGCTCATGAAGGTTTTCAAGCTGGTATAGAATACATAATGAGCCTGAGACCTGAGAGTGTTCATGACACAGACAAAATGGTAACTTACTAAACATGTACAGTGTACATGTACATGTACCATATTTTAAAACTCTCCTCCTTTTCTGTCTGCTGTCTCCTCCCTTTCCCTCTCTCTCAC